TCATTTTGGGTAAAATACACTACTATATGTTTCTAGTATACAAATGGCAATAAATGGAATACGGATTAATTACAATAAGGTATTAAGTTTTCTTTAGTCAAAAATACTGTCTCAAAGAAAATGCGATTTTAATTTATGTATGCCCCACAAGAATCATGATAATGGCAGGTTTGATGTAAAATTATAGTATTCTGAAGACCAATCAACTTTTTAAAAGACCATATTTAAGAAATGGAAAATTATGAAGATTCTACATTGCAACAAAGAAAGAGATAAACTAATGTATAGTATCAATAAACATCATTAGAGGTAAATAATATAAAAAAAATCTGAAAATAAAGTCAGTTAATTAATGACAGTTTGTTAAATGTATTGAAGTCTACACTTTAAAAAGAAAAAAATCAATTTAATGGTAATATTGGCCATAATTTAGGACAGGAGATATAGCGAACTCTGGCTTTCACCATTCCTTAAGTTGTTGTACACACTTCAAAACGAGATGTTACTTGAAGGGGGTTTGTATTTAAAACTTTTAATTTGCCTCCAAAATCCCCCGTTTTGGGGGACACTCAAAATTTTCAAAATCATAAAATGAAACTTCCTGCTAAGATTGCACGACCCAAAAGGATACCTCTCTATATTTACTGAAAAATATTAGATGTGAGGTCATGACTTTTTATTCACCCTGTATGATTTAAGACACCCATATGGACAAATTCAAATAACTTAAGTTGACAAATTCGTACTTATCATAATTTATTTTTCGTAAATACAAAATCCATTTCTCCGACTGTCTCTGCGCCTTGATTGTCATCGCGAAAGTAGGATTTTCTCCCTTCGCGATGTCTAGTAGATGGCGATCTATTTTGTTTGATGTTAAAACAGGTAACATTGAATTGCATATTTTTAACTTACAGAGTTCTTATTATTTCAGTGACCAAATGCTTATGGTTTAGAAAAATTGTTTTTCGTAGGCCTAAATTATAAAATGTCTGTTTACGATATTGTTTTAAAGATTAGTTTTAACGATCCAAAGGCCATGCTGCAGCTCTGGGCAGCGCAACACTACATCACAGTGGTGGATAGCTGTACTAAACTCATTAAAATCCTTACAAACGGCCAGCTTGTTTATTTACCTAAAACCATAAAACATATGGGACTGGCGATGGCAGTGAATTTATCAACGAAATCTATCCACTAGTGTGACGTCATGGATCCTGCAGCATGGCCTGTTTTTTTTCTAGTGGGGCCTTGCTTGGTCCCCCGGTACTTAGGTTTAAGTGTGTAAACCTATATTTTTTTTTATTATTTTGTAAAAGACAAATTTTTTATTTTTAAAATTAAAATTTTTGTGAGCAAAGCCATGACGGGTTTGCTAGTAAGTTAATATATTATTAGACGATATAGGCATTTATATACATGTACGAATACGAATAGTATTTTAGCCTCTGAAAAAGTCAATCGGTCCGGGTCTAGGGTCTAGAGAGGTGGCTGTGGTCTAGGTCGTACCGTAACACTTACGGTAATGCTGTAGCAACTTTTACTTACAGATTAATTCACTAAAAAAAGTAAAATTAAATAAGGTGAGCAATCGGTGTTTTACTATGCTTTATAGTAGTTTATGCAACGATCGCGTAAAGACTATTAACGCGAGTTGCGTACACTACTTTACCTACGACCGTTTTTTAATTACTAACAATCTGGTTTTTTTATTACTAACAATCACTACTCATAATTTATTAAAGAGGTTATGTTTTCATTTATTGTCATTGCCACTGAAAGTGGTGCAACGACTAATTGTATAATCAGCTGATTACTTTTTTAGGGAATAGGTTTTGCTAACAGCACTCTTACCATGAATACTGTATCAAGTATATATTGCAGGGAAATATTGCATATATTTATGGACAACTGAATAATGTTGTGAAACAATTATTTACATTTAGATCTCAGCATCGATTATGTGGTCCACAACGAGTTGGGTGAAAAAGTTGTTTAGAGGTTTTCCAAATTAACTAGAAGCACATTTTCATTTATCAATTTAACCTTATTTTGTTTCGTCCATTTAATGAATTACTGGTATGTAATTTCGTACCTTTGTTTCGATTTTGGTGGCAAAAGATTAGAACAAACCGTTTGTGCTCTCATTTCCATCTCGTCAACTTCACTTTCACTTAACTGACATTTTTCAATCAGTAATCTACCTTCCTTTAACTTCCACCAACTTAAGTTAAGAATACGCGAGTATCAACAGGAACAAGTCGGATCAACAATTACAATTGTCAACTGATCAGCTGATTAGTTACCGTTCGAAGCATTACAATTTTGCCGTGTTGTTATGAGAAAAACTATGCTGTTATGAAATGAAACTATGCTGTTATGAAAGTAGACAGCTGTTAAGTGAAACTTTTCAATTCTAATAACTGAACTGAAATGGCTACTGAAAAGTTTCACTTAACAGCTGTTTACTTTCATAACAGCATAGTTTACATTCATAACAGCATAGTTTTTCTCATAACAACACGGGTAACGGACCAATGAGGTTCTAGGATCGAGAGAAAATAAGTAAAATTGTAATGCTTCGAACGGCAACTAATCAGCTGATCAGTTGACAATTTTAATTGTTGATCCGACTTGTTCCTGTTGATACTCGCGTATTCTTAACTTAAGTTGGTGGAAGTTAAAGGAAGGTAGATTACTGATTGAAAAATGTCAGTTAAGTGAAAGTGAAGTTGACGAGATGGAAATGAGAGCACAAACGGTTTGTTCTAATCTTTTGCCACCAAAATCGAAACAAAGGTATGAAATTACATACCAGCAATTCATTAAATGGACGAAACAAAATAAGGTTAAATTGATGAATGAAAATGTGCTTCTGCTTAATTTGGAAAACCTCTTAACAACTTTTTCACCCAACTCGTTGTGGACCACATAATCGATGCTGAGATCTAAATGTAAATTATTGTTTCACCATATTATTCAGTTGTCCAAAAATATATGCAATATTTCCCTGCAATATATACTTGATACAGTATTCATGGTAAGAGTAACTGTTAGCAGAACCTATTCCCCAAAAAAAGTAAAGTGTCATTTAACGAAGTTTTATAACACGTAATTACATGAAATCAGCTGATTATACAATAAGTCGTTGCATCACTTTCAGTGGCAATGACAATAAACGAAAACATAACCTCTTTAAGAAGTTATGAGTAGTATTGTTAGGCTACGGCCACACGGGCGTTTTTTTCACGCGGTAAAATGTAGCTTATTTTCACGCTGCTTGAATTCCCGCTGTTGTATGCCACACGTGCGTTTTTTTTTTTTCACGCAGTAAAATGTAGCTTATTCTCACGCCGGTTGAAGTCCAGGAGCGGCAAAATGCAGTGGGAACCCGCAGTTGATTGACGAATTCACGTAATTATGTTATATTATATCTTCCTCATGGCCGGTATAGTAACCTTGTTTCTGACTAGTGAACAAGAAATATGAATGGTATATTGATTTCGATACGAAAACAATCTAAAATTATTTTATTTTGTTAACCTTTAATTTAATTATTTACATTTAGTATAAAAAATGAATATAATATATTAATTTCGTTACGAAAACAACAATAAAATTATTTTATTTTGTTAACCTTTGATTTAACTATTTACATTTAGTATATTAATTTCGATACGAAAACAACACTAAAATTATTTTATTTTGACATTTAGTATTAAAAAATAAATATAATATAAATATTTGTATGACAAGATGTTCATCAGATCTTTGAATATTCTACTACATAAATGACATTTTTTAGTCCAACTAAATGCCTTTCCTTTTAGTAACAAATTATTAAGTGGTCCAGTAAGGTCGACCTATGTTTAAGATAAAACGTGTAGGTCTACTGTGTAATTGGCTAGACCCAAAAATATTTTACGCTATCCTGAAAAAAATAGAAACATTTATCTTTATTTTAACTTGCTAGAACGACTTGATCAAAGCTGCGTGTTGCTCCCGCCCGTGTGGCCAGGGACAGAGCGTGAAAACAAGCTTCAAAAATGCGCCCCAGTCCATTCTTCTGCGGGCCCGCGGCGGGTGATTTTGCAGACGCGCCTTTTCTGCGTGAAAACACACTCCGTGTGGCATACCTCATTACATTTAATGCTGCCCATATTTCTCGCGTTTTTTCACGCTGCGTTCTTGCGTGAAAAAACGCCCGTGTGGCCGTAGCCTAAGTAATAAAAAACCCAGAAATTTTCTACTCGTGTCGTAAAGACTAACTTAACGCATTGTTGTGTAAACTACTATTAAAACATAACTATTAACAAAAGTTATGAAATCATGTTGCTCCCTTAACATCCCACCTGAGATTCTTCAGTTATAACTACACTTATACATATGATAATAGATATAGGCATTAGGATAAATTTAGGAATAGGTACAGGTACAATTCATTACAGTGTTCATAATACCTATATCTCTATCATGCTTTAAAGTATGGATAACTTAACGACTTGCGTCACGGATTGTGTAGTTCAGTTCTATGGATCTCACCATTTATCTTACTAATTAAATTACATTATTTTTTTCTATTATTTAAATCTGGGAGATTGAAAGTGGAGACGAATGAAAAATGTATGTCAAGGAAATATTTCTGAAATCTGAACTGTCTTTCACCTCAAAGAAGTAATAAAAATATGATATTTACTTCCCTGTGGTGGCCAACTATAATTTGACATTATCCGCGATAAAACTGTGGACTGTGGAGTGTGGGACCATAACATTGCTTAGCCGCTTAGCCTATAGTGGTTTTATAGAGGTTCACAAAAATCAATGTATACATGTAATCAGCAAATATTGATGATGTCTTCAAATCAGTTCAATTACTGGAAACTGGAAAAAACTGATAACTGGTGTCTGTAGATTTTTTAGTTGTTAGAAAGGAATTCCCCGAAGCGGGAAATTCTCCCCGAGTGTGGCAACACTGCTCGCGCTGGAGTGGCCGCGCCGTCGCCGTCGCCAGAGCAACCAATAGTCAGTCGAGTCGATCCACTCAAGAGAGGTTCATTGTACAGTGGCATTAGCTGTGTTGTGAGTGAGATGCGGTGTTTGTGGATTATCCTGGCCGTGGGTCTGCTAGCGCTGCTGGCCGATGCCGACGCCAAGAAGAAGAGGAAGTTCGAGGGAGATTTTGAATTTGCAGATGAGGTATGTACATTGCTTATTGCTTGTAGAGTACCTTATAGCATAGCCTAGTTTTACGTAAATGCAAACTGTGTTGAATGTATTATCGTGCCATGATCACAGACAAAGATGTTGGCGAAGTCTACATTGCTTTTAAAATGTATGTTTATAATTTAATCAAAATATTCGTGTCGATTCCGCGTTGATAACATTTCATTAGCGTAATGAAAAATTCGTTATATTTAATAGTTTTACTAATGAAAAGTAATAATGATACGGGATTGTTTTCTTTCAATAGAACTTTTTATGCTGTCAGGCATCTTATTATCTACAGATAACCGGTAGCGCCACTTAGTACAGTACGTGATATTATTGAAGTGATGATATGGAAGAAGTGTGTGTTTGTGTTAGTTCCTGGATCTCGCCTCTTTAAGAAATTATTTGCTGTGTCTTCATCTAGTCAAAATTCTATCAGCAACCACCTATGTACTGCACTACCACTACTGGACACCGACACCTAGGAGGATTAAACATTATAATTAATTAAAACATTATAATGTTTAATCCTCCTAGACCGACACCGGTAGCAGTATTGTAGGTGTAGTGTAGTGTGGTGGTGAATGTGTGTCAGGCGGAGGGCGGCCCTTATTGATTGCAGTGGCTTCAATCTCAGGTACTATTCCATGTGCATCACCTACTACTGTGCTGGCTACTGGTTAGTTGCTATAGCTGTGTTGTAGGCGCAGTTTGAGGGAATACTAAATAACATTATTTAACTCACACGTCTCACTAGTTAGCAATAGCCTGCCTATTAATTGTGATTTTAAAAAATAACGACACAAAGAACATATTCCAAAGTGAAATGCTCCTGAAATGTTTCACACAACTGTCGTTTTACTGAATCACTACAGTGACCCACGTGACCACCATACTAATATTGTCAAAATATAATTTGAAATCATACTTAGTTTCTTCTGTCTCGCTTTTTAGTCTGTTCGGCTGCTGGGCGACGCTCAATAACGCTTTCTTCTATTTTCGCCGATATCGTTATGTATGTGTTAATCTCACATTAAATCAAATCAATAGGTAATTCGAAACTTTTTTAGATTCTTCTCTTTAGATATAGGCTAGTTCTCAGAATTTTTGAACTATCCTTAAGCGTGGTAATGCTTGGCCTGTCAGTGTACGAGTTGGTGAGTCATACTTGTGTTGTATGAGCAGATATGATCGTCCAAGGTGTCAGGCTGCACTCAAGGACCCTCTCCATCTTCCGCCCCATTGTTAAGTAGAGGGGCAGTGGAAGGACGAGTGGTTTCTGCCATTCTCCACCCTCAGGAACCCTTTTGTTGTCTCAACCGAAACACCTCCACTTTTCATTCCATAAGTTTCTCGGCACAAGCCCCGAACTGCACCAAGGCTTGATATTGTAAACAGGCACTCCAGAAAACAATGTTCTGGTCTGGGGAGGCTGATATCCGTTTTTTTTGTCCTAGACTAAGAACATGGTCTAATATATGCTACGTTGAACTCTAAATTAGGTGTCTGACGTGACGTGGTCCTGGGGGGGGGGGCGAATCAGTATCACGAACAGTCATGTAAGAAATTTCGCAATTATTTGGTGACCATTTATTTCTTTAGATCTCTTCTTGTTGAGTGTAATAGCCTTGTCTGTGTATTAGAGGTGGCTATGGCGTAAGTTACACTGATCTACGTGTGTTTAACATCAGACAGTGGCTGTGTCACGATATTTCAATTTTGAGTACACTGCACTTAACGATGGGGGTTTTTATAAACAGTTTGGTTTTGACGTACAGTATCCACTTATACTTCCAGCAGTAATGGTCTCTCTCCTACTCAAGTGGACGTTATTTGTGGCAGGCTTTCAGTGGTGTTTGTGTTTACACTTTTCAGGACTTCTGACAGTCGACAAATCCACTTAAATATGCATCACGACCAAATGGAGCTATTATAGACTTGACGCGTAATTTGTCACATTCAGGAAGAATTTTTTTCAAAGTAGTGTTAGTTTGTGTTTTTGTTTGTGTTTTAGTTTTTAGTTTGTGTTTTACTATGAAGAGTATCACAACTACAATAAAGAATATAGTTCCGAGTGTGCGTAAAGTTTTTAGAAATTCATAAACTAAAGCATAATGATTGCGATTGACATATAGTTCACATAAAGCCATGAAGATCCTTTCATGCTGTCGAGATCGTTCCAGACATGGTTTACTCGGTTAAGGAATGATAAATTATCTTTTTTTAAACGCCCTAATGCGTGTTGTGTGTGGTAAACGATCGAACAATAATTGCGTCAACACCTCCTTGTGCAGTTCCAGCACCCTTGTTATGACAGCACTGTGTATGTAGCGGGTGGTATACAGGGTGGGAGTCTCACGCACAAAAAGGGCAGCACACTTCACACTGCGCCATTATTTATGGCCTTTTTGTTTCGACGGTTGCACCGCCGACTAATTGGCCCTTCCTAAATAACAAATTAGCCAATCACTGCCAAATGGAGCTTTGCCCGGAGAAAACGCGATGTAGTAGCTTCATAATTCACAAATATCAGCGTGAAAGTGAAACTGTTCGAATCCGGGTTGATCAAGAACAATAAATTTGGAAAACGTGTTAGATACTTATTAAAAAAACATTGAATTTGTACACTTTTCATAACCTACTGACTATCTTGTTCATTGGTTCTTTAAAAAAAACTTTATCCTCAGAAGAACATCTCTTCTAAAGCATCTATATATAAAATGTGTTTCCCAATAAAGCTGGATCTACGTCTACTGTTCTTTCGAGTTAAATGATTTTATTTCAGTTTAATCTTTTTATATATAGATTAAATTCTCTATGTCACTCCTACACTGCAAAGAAAATATGAAGCCCAATAACGTATACCGGTACCTATACTAGGAATAGGAAAGCGAACATAGGAAAGCATACTAGGCAAGTAGCAACAATAGCCACGTATTTGATTCAACCGAACTCTACAAATAACTGTTTTATAATATTCCACAGAATATAGGCCAAAATCCTAATTTATCATTCTTAAAATTATTTGAATCACCCAATTGCTTACGGGGGTATAATGATTTATATCACTGCTGTGCTGAACCTAAGTTATTCTTACTTTGGACTATTAGACCTTACTCTGTACTGTAGGTACTCTGTATAGTAGCTTTGACTTTGAATACAACTTCAGTATCCAATAGTCAATGGTAATACTGTTTGGTATGGTATTAGGCTTAATTAGTTAGTTTAGTAGTTCTGAAAATATGTTGTTTCAAAAAAGCGCTTGCAAATAAAGACATTGTTTTATTATTTTACCTAACCAAAGAATTATTATTTTTGCTAACTCAACCTCAAATGTATTCAATCTATAATGCCTCTTAAAGATTGAAGGAATTTAAACGCTTAAGACAGTAAGCTAACTACCATCCGAAAACTTGGCTCACGAATTTGGTAAGTTTTTACTAGACCAAAATTTACTAGGCTGTTATGAAAATTTTTTTCTCAAAATGACCGCTTGCGAGTTAAAACAAATTGTTTATACTAGCGCTAAAATAGTACATACACTTAACATTAAGTCCATGTATATTTTCGTGCTTTATAATGTCATAGATAAAAGTGCTAAAGGCACTAAATAGGCCAACATTGTCTCCCATAATTACCATTAGGAAGAATACAATCCAGTAGGCATAGCAGAGCTCAATTTCGATCAAATTTTAGTTTTTGGATTCTGTAGATAGTATTGTTATCAGGGAAAGGGTAACACACAAATATTTGAAATGCACATAGTTGTTTGCTCAACTGAGGAATGTCTGTACGGCCGTCGCCCGTTGCTGCACCGCATTTTTATTTTTTACTTCACTCCCATCATCGACGTTTCTAATACATTGTTTCGAAAAATCCGATACTCACTATAGATTTATTTAGCTGTTTGTTAGTATTAGTTAAAAACTAACTATGGTTGCATAGTTATTAGTTCAACCAAATCATAAAACCACAAAGGATTGTAGGCATTCATGTGAATTTTAACTAAAATATCCTAACATTTAAAAGGATGCCTATTTAATTGGGTTGGATTCTGATATTCGTAGAAGGCCCATTACTGTAAGCAATATTATTTTCTAAGAATCATTTCACTGTTGTGATCGTTTAATCTCAGAGATAAAGCTTTTTGACCTGTGTTAAGAGAAGCGCAGAGTCCTGATTTGGCCCTTTTTGGATTGGCAATACAAGTGATTACAGTACCGTAGTACAACACTGCCTAAATTGTATACCGATCGGAAGGGAATCATGAAGATTGAAATGATATTTTCAACAGTTAACTTAGTTGTGTTTATTAGAAACTATTCCACCAATGAATAATTATTATTTCAATGTTCAGTTAGATAATAATGTCTCCGTTACGCCCCTTTTCCAGCCGTCATAAACGAACCGATTTTTACTATTGAGGTGTCATTTTAAAGCTTATGATCCGGCGTACAGGTAAATGGTAACGAACAAGTGCACCCCTTGTGTTCAGTTATTTCTAGAGTTCACTTTCAAAGATGTTTCTGACCAACTTTCTTAATAGGTTAACGTATAAAATAGTCAGTCTTTTGGGTGTAGATCTTGATCTTTGAAAAAGTAAAGTGGTATTGCATTATTATTTGTACATTAAAATTAAGTTTTTAAACCTATTAAAATGCGCAATTTGTGCATGGGTCCCTCTAGACTGTATTGTAGGCTGATGCAATTGTACAGGTGAACCCTTTACAATAAATAATACAAATTTGTGCATAATTGAAAGTATGAATGTTTTAAGCTGTAGTGTTGTATCATATTGGCAATCGCTCTGTAATTCATACAAGTATATGTTAGTTCTTTAGCAATATACTGTATAATTGGTCTTGTCTTATACAGTAGTTTCTTCACTGAGTTTTAAACCGCACTATGTTTACTGGCCCGAAGGACGGTCGACCGCAGTGATCAAAGCTTTGTTTTCAGAGACTTCCGACTTCCGACATAGCTACATA